TTTTTTTGCAGTTATGCATCGATGCATCAAAATTGATAAGCTGTTCATATCAAATATGTGAAACCGATAAACAAAGGGCGCTAAATGCATTAGCTGAATTTATTTGCGTGCGGCATGATATTTACAAAAAGCATTCCGCATGCCTTACATCTGTTATTACCTCATCAGAGGTATGCTTTTCATTAAAAGAAAATTTGAATTAATTCTTAAGATTAATTGCAATATTTTTTTCGTTGAAATCATTTTTGCAAAAAAAAAAATTCAAAATTTTGACTAATAAAAAGAAAATTAAATACTAGAACATACCTGACTTCATTTAGAGAGAAATCTTTCTGTATCGAATATTTTTTGTTTTTTGAAAATTATTAGTTTAATTTAAAAATGATAAAATGAGTTAAATAAAAAATGGATGGAATTTTTCCTCTTTTTTTATTAATTAAAGAATTATTATAGGGATCAAAATGCTTAGCATCGTTCCTTCCGAAAGCATCAGAACAACAGTGCTCATTCCTGGCAAATGTTGCTAATTGCGCCACGCCATATATTTACAGTACTTGTGGATATGAAGCATTAACCTTATCTTTCGAAGGAATGAATATATTTGCTAATCAAGTAAAATATAATTAGTTCATTTAAATTATTAATTTTTGAGCAAAATAATTAAATATCCCAGCTAAAAACTTGGATATTTTTATTTTTTCTTGTTAAAAACGAAACAAAATAGTAAAGTAAAGTAATAAATATGAAAATTTTCACCTCTTAATATTTTCTTTTCCTTTGCTTTTTTTTCAAATCGTCAATTTTAATAAAATTTCTATTAATTTTAACTAAGAAATTAATTAGTGTGATTATTATTACAGTTAAATAAATCATGCAATATACAAATTCCTATAGCATCGGTAAAAACAAGTTGTACCGAATCCGATATTGTTGAATATTTACAATGCGAAAATTTGATTGATCATTTCACCTTTACACCATTTTCATTTATCAGGTAGTAATAATTGTTGGATAATTAATTTTGTTATTTCATATAGATATTAATTTCTACTTCACTCATTACGTCTTTATATATATATATATATATATATATATATA